GGATGGGGAGGGGGGGGGGAGCTCCCGACAGAAAGGGGTAGGATAGTTTTAAATGACCTCTTAAGACGTCGTCCACACGCACCTTCGTGGTTGGAATCAGGCCTCCGGATCTCAACATCGAGACCAGCCGATACCCGTCCTTCGGCCCTATAGCTCCGCTCCCAGGGGCCGCGGCCGCCGGGCCTCCGCAGCCGGAGGGGTGACCGCTGCTGCCGATACTCCGGGCCGCCAGCGACCTTCTATCGATCGCCGTCGACACTTTACGTCATTTTGGAAGGTCGCCGCCGTACGCAGTCGCAGTCCCGGTCCCCGTCCCGGCCCCGCGGCCGGCCCGGCCCCAGACCGCGTACAAGAATGTGTCGAAGTATTTTAACAAGCGCGCTCAACCCCTGCACCCCTCCGTCTCCGCCCCCGCCCCGCACCGCCCTTCCCCGCCCTGCCGCGCTGAGCGCAGCAGCCAAGATCATCGGCGTATAGATAAATACATTTGTTCATTGGATTTGGGCAAATGGATCGGCATGTTAATGAGCGCTCACTTCCCGTTTGTGAGGCAACACGTCTTCCGTATCGACGATCAGTCGCGCGTTATCCGCGCCACCATCGGGGCATGATTTGTTGTAGGAAGGCGGTGCCAATAAGGCGCTCGATCCTGTACCCCCCCCCCCCCCCAATGTATCGTCCACCAACTCGACACGCACACAACAGCAGCGCTCACAAACGGTATCACAGAATATGTCAAAAAACGGAAATTCTCCCCTTTCGTTTTCTGCACCACGGTTTATTCTAAACTGACGCACTTCTGAACTATGGTGCCCCCCGGTCGCCCCCGGTCGCCCCTGCCGCCCGCGGCCCTGGGCCCTGCAGCATGGACACAGGGCCGCGCCGCCGCACTGGCAGCCGCGCCATTTTGTAACAAAACGAAACAAATGGACACCGTGCAAGCTCAGAAAGAGAACGGCGGCGGGGCGGGGGGCAGAGGGCCGGGGCCCTGGGTGTGCTACTGGGGAGTCCCTCCTCCCCTCTCCTTCCCTCAACCCCTCTTTCTTCTCTCTCTCCCCCTTTTCCCTTCCCTTCCACTGTTCCGGCTTCCACGAACCGATTCGTATGGAATGCTGCACGCTTCTGCTTCTGCTGCCGTTGCCTCCTTGTTCTTGTTCTTCTCCTCGTCCTCCCCCCCCCCCCTCTCCAGCGGGCCGGTCGGCCGGGCCCTTCGCCTCGCACCGCGGCCTCTGGTCCGAACAATGTGCCGATATGCCTTGTCTTTTCATTTCATTGTTATTTTCCTACCATGTCCCCTCTGCCCTGCCCTTCCACCGCCGTCTCCACCCCAACACTCCAACACTACCTCCGCCCCCGAGCCGAGGCCGCCGCCCCGCCCTGGAGGACTTCGCGGAGGACCGTGGACCTTGCAACGCAACCCTGCCGGTCGGGCTGGAGGAGCTCGAGAACAGCAGAGGACGAAAGTTTCCAACTGTCTTTTGTATGGAGTGAGGAATCAGCACAGGCAGGGGGGGAGGGGTATGAGGGGGGGGGGGAGGGTCACCTCGGCCCTGCCGTCGGCCGCATCGACAAGACGAACGCGTCGGACGTCCACTGCTATTCGCTGTCGTTGTAAATCCCGCGCGGCGCACCGCCGCCCCTCCCGGCCGAGCGGCCGTCCGTCGCCCGAGAGTCCTTCGGGGGGACACGACGTCGACGAGGACGGGGGCCTCCACTTGCTGTCCAAGCCTTCCGAGCCCGCGGCGGCCGGCGGAATGCCGACGACGGCAGGCAGAGGCTGTGGCCGGCTGGCTGTCAGACTGCCTGTCAGACAGACTGACTGACTGACGGACGGACAGACAGACGGACGGACCGATTCGGCTTTCTGACTTGGGCCCGGCCGGAGGGCTGGCTGACGCATGGGGCCCCATGACAGGTGTCGTCTGTCCTCGTGTCCGCGTGCCGAGTGGCGGTTGTACGGCGAATCCACCGACAGAGCAAACGGCGCAAACCACCCTCCTCCCTGCACCAAGCCCTCTGCACGACTTGCCTTCCGAGTTGCGGCAAGGCAGACCGGAAGTGGACCGAAAGCGGACCGGAAGTGGGTAGCTGGAAAACCGGGCCTTTTGGATCTTGGACGACACCCTCCATCATCTCGCGGTGCTTCTGGTCACCTTACAGTACTCCAGGTGCAGCGCTACGGTTTACCCCTCCCTCTTCCTTACATGTGCCGTCTCGAATGGGGGGGACTGTATACACATGGCGAGATAGATGTAGCTGCTTAGGGGACGTCCACAAATTACGTCCCCTTTTTAAAAGATTCGTTAGCCAAATTTGACGGGAGCTCAGCGCCTGCGGGACTCAGCGTATGCCACCCCGCAGTACACGGACGCACTGCATGCAAGATGTTGCCTATCTATAAGGGGCTATTAGGGCTTGTAGAGGCTCAAATTGGCAGTTTTGTGACGGCCAATGGCATGGCGGACGTACTTTCTGGATGATACCTTGGCAGCATACCATCACCGAAACAAAACACAGGCAACTCGTCCGATACCTGGCCCGCTTGGGGCTGATTTTGCGTACACCTCGATTGATGAAGCCGCGGGTAGCCTACCAAGATTTCTCGCTGCGATATTCAGGGTTTTGCTGCCGCCGCGGGCAAGGCGGAGGCAGGGGCGCTGCGGCGTGGGCTTGGAGATATTTCCCCCCCGAGTGGCCATGTCCAGGAGGCCCCGGCCCCCGGCCAGGCCCCAGCGGACCATCGACCAGATGACCGCAGCCCAGCCCGGCACGCCAGAGTTGTAATCGGCAAAATCGTCGCTATACCTTTTTTTGTCAGAGGCGCGGTAAAGGCGACACACACCGCCGGAGTCCACCTCACCGCCCCCTCCCCCCTTTCCCCTCTGACTCTCCTTCGCTATACTCCTCGAGTATCGCCATCTCTCTCCCTCGCTCTTCTCTTGCGCTGCCCCCCCCCCTCTCTCTCTCTCTCTCTCTCCCTTTCTTTCTCCCCCCTCCCTCCGACTATTTTTTATTGTGAAGAAGGTTTGAACATGGAAACGCGACCGGGCAGCAACGGCGACACACACGCACACACGTACACTGGCCTGTGCGGGCCGCTCCTGGTGGTGGAGGTTGTGTGGCGCGGAGGGCGTAGTAGTAGTGGAGGTGAAGGCTGCGTCGTTGGGGCAGCAGCACGAGGTTGGCCGGCTACATTTCTGTTTCCCGTGAACGACTTTAATCTGCTGATGGCAACGTTCAAACCTTTTCACGTATACCATCCCCTACATGCCCTCCACCCTCCTTTCACTACCCCTCATCGCCGCTGCTCCTCTGTCCATCGCGGACATCGAGGGGCAGGAGGGAGGATGATGCCCCCCCAGGGGGCCAGGGGGGCCAGGGGGGCC